GTCCTACCAGTGCTCTATCTGATCTCTGAGACTCTTGGTAACTAAAATTTCTAGGGCTACTTAGTAATAAGTTGTATTGAATTAGTCTCAGATGTCAGCCTGATAATTTGAAGCCATAGCATTGCTTGTCTAGTGCTTGAAAGTGCATGCTATTATTTTGATAATTTTATTTTATGCCAAGCTTTGTCTCCAGGTATCAACCTAGCCCTGACCTGAGATGCTTTCTGTTTCATGGTAATACATGAGTGTTTTAATCTTTTTGTATTTTGTGTTTTCCTGTAAATCAGAATTTTAAGATGTCTCCTGGTTAATTTCTAATGTAAAGTGATCTTTTGCCCAGTGGATATACCTTGTAAGAGCTTTAATTGTGAGCATTTTTAAGGCATTTTGAATATCTATGGAACTGATCTAATGCTTTTGAAATAGTACTGCAGAGTACAGTTTTGTCATGTTAAGTGAGATGGTTGGTAACTTGTGTCTAAATTTGGGAGATCACATCGTACATTGTACTACTATAGATGTATGCCATAAGTCAGAAAGATAATGGATGGAGATATGGTCAGTGGGAAGAAAGGAAAGGAATTCTGTTAAAGTGAAATTGATTTTTAAATGAATGAAAGTTACAGAATGTATGTAAAGGAATGTGTAGAAGATTTGAGGTTGTTCTAAAGAAAAGGAACTGGTCAAACTGTTATAAGAAACGCTTTAAATCACATGCAGAATTCTTCTAGCACCTTTGTGGTAAGATCTATGGTAAAGATGATTGATGGATTATCTGGACTCCTGTTACAGTGCTCTTAAGATCATTGAATTTTTCAAAAGTTGCAGAAATCAAGGGTTTTGACATGGGATTAAAAACATGTTAAACGGTATGCTTTATCTCTACAGATTTTAGCTTCTCTGACTAGGACCCACAGCAAACAGGTGTATTACATCTCTGTGAGTAAAGTGAAATACTTGCTTTTCTCTTCTTTTGTACCTTCAGTATGTTTTTTGATGTTTCATGGCACTATGTTGGTTTGCATAAATCCAGATAAGTCTTTCCTCTCTGTAATAGGGTCTACCCCTCATGCAGACAGGAAAAACCAGCCATGGGACCCCAAAGCCCTCTTCCAGGGAAACAGTCAGGGGATCTGTCTAAATGACAGGAGCAGGGATTTAACAGGTACTGTTTCAAGAACCCTACAAACCTCAGAGCGACCCTAGAGGCAGGCTGGCTCGAGAAAAGACTGGAAACCATCACTGCTATGGAGAATGAGGAATCTAGGACTCTGCAATGACTAACTCAGTCTGGGCCTACTCTCAGCGTCAAGGAAAAACCTGGAAACCAGGATTTCTCCCAGCCCTGAAGAAGGGATGGGATGGATTCCTTTCTGCCAGGACATCTCTGTGGAAAACGAGGACCAAAGCCACAACCCAAGGGCTCGAGACATCGCGGGACATCTTCTGGCCAGGCCTGAGTAGCTCTGACGTGCCAGATAAGATTAATGAAGATTAATGCCACTATTGTTGTGTCTCCTGTCTTTAGCTGATCCCCAGGACTTCTCAGTAAATAATTGGGTATCCCAAATGGAGAGTTCTCTAATCTTACTGTGTTTATGCAAAAGAACAAGCCAGGTTTGTTAAACTATCTTGCAACGTTTTAAAATGAAGGTGGAGAGAAAACCATGTTTCTGTAAGTAGCTTTTTGTAAGAATCAGATTCTAATTCGACAGAGGTAATTGAATAAATGTATTCTAATCTTGATCTAAAAGGTACCCCCTTTGGGGAAATTTAGATAAAACTTAGTTTACTGTCTGTAGGTAAAACAGCCTAATCTGTAAAGGGAACTCAATATTATACATGTTGTCACTAGTCTGATACGAGCATTGAAAGCCAGAGCTTTACTAGGGTGAAGCTCATCTCAAAATGCAGAATTGCTTCCCCCCGGTCTGAATTGGCCAAAGTGTCGAGAAAGGCATCTAAACTGGTTAAATTAGAGTAGATTAATATCTAGTTCTAAAATACTGTGAATTTTCTTTCTATACTTTATTGCATCTCATTTTCTGTGAACAGTCATTTGGAGAGAACAAGAATATTATCAGCTCTTAATTTCTGTTGCATCATGGGATTAACAACTCCTGAACCAATGCAATGGAATATTATTAAAGGGTTATGTTTTAACACTAGTGAGAACCATCTTCCATGGGGAGGAACTGAACAGCAAGTAAGATAGAAGTAATTCAGAACTGTGCTTTCTGTGCCATTAATGAACCTAGTGGAAATCCTGAGCCTCCTCTCCTAACACCTGTTCAGCATCAAGGAACTTAGAGGTGAATCGGCAGCTTGACCTTATACAAATGATCAAATGTTCATATGTTCAAGGTATAAATATATGTTGGTTCTCATTGATAGCTTCAGTATATGGGCAGAAGCTTTTCCAGTCTGTACTGAGAAAGCCAGAGAATGGCTTGGTGTTTCTGTGACCATTAGAAAAATCTGAACACAGGAAGTTATATTATCAACCAAACCTGTTTGTAGAGTTAATCCTTTTCATTGTTTTAATGATAGAGATGGGTATGGCATTATGTTGCTTTGGTTTCTGTTGCTTTAACTCTTTTTAAGACCTCATGGAGAAATCTCTCACATCCCTGTTCGAGATAATCTCCCAAAACCTGAGAGGACTCGACCTTCGACCTGTTGTTCCTCAAGAACAGAGGGCTTTGCTCTGATCTGGTGGAGGGATGCTGTTTCTACGCAGACCACACTGAGGTTGTCAGAGACTCTATAGCCAAGCTACGGGAAGGCCTTGAACGATGTCGGAGAAGCCTGGGAGAATTGGTTTGAGTCTTGAAGGTCCTCCTAATTCTGGGCAACAATACCGGACTCTACCCACTGAGGAAAGCTACTCTTAACCACGGGTCCTCGAATTAGGCCCCGACCCCGCCATGATCTCTAGGATTAGAGATGCTCATGAAAAGAAGTGGGGAATGAAAGAATCCATATTAGGGCATCAAATTTTTGTGTACTTTAGCTAACTTGCAACATTGCTTTCTGTAAAACTGCTTGGCTGCTTTGCACCTGGGGGAGAGGGGACTTGGAAAGTGATTTACTGTCCCTGAAATGTATTGTCTCAGTAAAGCACCCTGCAGATTTGGGTAAAGGATAACTCAGGATGCGGGTGGTTGGGGGAAATTGCCCTTTCCTGGAATGTATTGTCTCACTAAAGCACCCTGCAGACTTGGGTAACTCAAAATGAGGATGGTCAAGGGAGATTACCTAAGGCTTAATGATTCCAGCTATAACCTTGCTTGTGCTGACAGTCGATGTACGTAAATGCTGATCTTTGAATCTATAGGCTAAGGAGTGAGGTACTTTTAAATGGATTGGTTAAGAAAGTATATGTTGTTACAAATCTATTGGCTATGAAATGCGCGGGCTTTGCTGTAACGGCCAGTGAAGGCCTATATAAGATCCCCTTTGAAGAAGTTCGGGGCTCTCAGCCACTGACCGTTTTTGGGGTATGCTGCGGAGCCCCAGCATGCTGGTCTGAATAAACCCCGTTTTTACTCCTGCAGGAATTGTGTCTATCTGGTCTCTCCGCGCCTCCCAGGGCCAGGGAACTCCCGATCCCAACATTATATTATTTCTAAAACTTATTTGCAATTTATTTTTGTTTCCTCAACTAAGATGCAATAATTAGTTGTCTGAATACAAAAACATATTACCACTAAAGGACATTCATTATAATAGTTTTCTAAAAAATAATTTTAAAGCTGGGATAATTGATTTTCTTTGAATTATAAAGGGAAAGGGCACTAGATGGGTATGTTTTAATTTTTTTTCTTAGCTTCACATTTTCCCACAAAAATGTTTTTATTTTCCTGGAAACTCTCGTGATGTCTTTTTGACTTAAAACCAAAGCATAAGGATGTGTGCTTAACTTAATAACAAAGCATTAGGATATGTTTATATCACTCTCACTGTCTTCCCGTTGTTCATCAATTTGCTCGAGTGGGCCCAGTAACGTCTCCATTGTGACAATTGTTACTATGTTTGGCATATCGAATATATGTCACAGGTAGCTTGCCAGGCTTTGCCGTGCGGGCGAGATACTCTCGGTAGCTCTCTGAGAGGGGCGCAGGAATCAAACTCGAGTCGGCCATGTTGGCCGCTTGCAAGGCAAGCACTCTACCCACTGCACTATCACTCCAGCCCATGTTTATATATTCAATAGAAACATGTGTTGAACCATGTTAATTTTGCTAATTATATCTCAGTTTCAAAAACTATGTTCTCTCATGACACAAGGTTAATATAAAGTCAATTCAAAGATTGACTAAAAAATACAACTAGACATCATGGGAATGTAAGTTGACTTTAATGTATAGATGTCTATAAAATTTTCAGTGTTCTTCTAATTCTATATATTCTCAGTAATCATCTGTATTTTTATTTGGTTCCCTCCCCATATAAAACTAGTTTACTTTAAAATTCTTTCCAGTTCCCCAAATTTCCACATTTCTCACCTCTCAGGGATTAGTACATGTACTATCACTTTTATTAAGTGAAGTTTTCTAGTACCTTTCTCCCTATTCTCATGGCTTTTTTGTCTTTATTAAAGCACTAAACATAATATATCAACAAAAAAATTTTCTTTTTGGTTTTTGGGCCACATCTGGCTGTGCTCAGGGCTTACTCCTGGCTTCACACTCAGGGTTCACTTCTGAACAGCTGGTATTGAGCGGGTGGCAGAATATGTGGTGACAGGGATTGAACATGGGTCAGCTGTGTGCAAGAAAAACACCTGACCTGCTGTATTATCATTCTGGTCCTAAATTATATGGCAAATATTGTATGCACTTTCTTAGTAGTCAGAAAAAAATAATAAGACAGGCATATATTAAATCATTGAATATAAAATCAGAACTATGCTCAAATAGTAAATATCAAGGTATTTGGTCTTATAAATCAAAGCTTTAAGTGTTTACATTTTAAAACTAATTAGAAAGTAAGCTTACCAGCATATCTCATCTGTAGTACCTCTGGTGGAATATTTAATAGTTTTGAAAAATAATTCTTCAGGCCTGATAAATTGGAATCCACTCTAAAAGGCCTTATAATTTCTTGACCACTGGGAATAAGTACAGCTTTTACTGTAAATAATAAAAAGAAAAAGAATCATAGAGCAAAAGTCAACAAATTACAGTCCAGAGCAGAAACAGAATTCTGGGCAATTTTTTCATTACATGGAACAGAAATCATCTGTTACATACCCTTATCAAAATCTCATTCTGAGTTACTTAAAATTTTCTACGACAAGTGTCCAACATTCTGCTATAAACGTTTGCTTTAAAAATCAAAATCTCAAGAATTAGCATCAACAATCAATACCTACTACCCCAAATCTAGCTCAATGTTTAGGTTTCTCTTCTGTTCCCTTCTATGAAGAGCATTATGCACTGAGCGTTACCTCCTTAATCAGACTGCCACAAGAAAGAAATAAAATTAAAATTAAATTTTAATAACATCAAACTGTCTTTAAAGGAAATAAAATTAAACAACATCCAATGTCTAGTCAATGTTACTCCGATACAAGCATAAGAAACATTTCAGAAAAATCAAAAAATTGTTTGCTCTATTAGAAAGATATACTCTGAGACTTGGGCTGGAGCGATAGCATAGCGGTAGGGTGTTTGCCTTGCACGCAGCCATCATGACTGACTCGAGTTCAATTCCTCTGCCCCTCTTGGAGAGCCCGGCAAGCTACCGAGAGTGCCTCGCCCGCACAGCAGAGCCTGGCAAGCTACCCATGATGTACTCGATATGCCAAACACAGTAACAACAAGTCTCATGATGGAGACGTTACTGGGCCCCGTTGAGCAAATCAATGAACAACGGGAGGACCTATATCTACTGGTATCTACTCTGAGACTTAACAGATGTGTCCCTGTGTCTTAGATGTGTGCCTACTTTGGTTACATGCTGCCGTTATGTATAGGTAAATCAGCACATATTCATTAAAAGTAAAGGTAAGGTAAAAGGTAAAGGCCCTCCCGTTGATCGTCGATTTGCTCGAGTGGGCCCAGTAACGTCTCCATTGGAGACTTTGTTGTTACTGTGTCTGGCATATCGAATACTCTCGGTAGCTTGCCGGGCTCTCCGAGAGGGGCGGAGGAATTGAACTCGGGTTGGCCATGTTGGCTGCGTGCAAGGCAAACGCCCTACCCGCTGTGCTATTGCTTTGGTCTCTCGCTCCATTAAAAGTAAGAAAATAAAAAACAGGGTCTGGAGAGAGTGCAACGGGTAAGGCTCTTGCCTTAGATGCCAACAACCTGTGTTCAATCCTGGGCATCCCAAATGGTCCCCATAGAAGAGGTAGGAGTGATTCCTGAGTGCAGTCAGGAGTAAACCCTGAGCATTTCTAAGTGTGGGCCACTCCCGCACCACACGCACACACACACACACACACACACACACACACACACACACACACACGATAAGTTTCCAAGGATTTTTTTTTGACCTTCCAGTCAAATAATACTAAATGTGGTCTTCTTTTCGTAACTGATTTAAATAAATAACTGCCAAAATCAAAGGCAGAAAAATCATTGGTTATTACATGTATATAAAAATAAGTATATAACTGTACCTCATGGTGTTTCACTAATAAAAAAATTTAAAAAAATACAAAAAAATAAGTATGCACAGAACTAATTTTCACCAAAAATGACATTATTTGACTTTCTCTTCTATAAATTGGAAAACCTAGAAGTTTGCATGTTAAAAATATGAACTTGCTTTGAAGTTATATTTGTTCATGAATTATAGGAATAAAAGTATTTAAGGGGCTGGAGTGATAGCACAGCGGGTAGGATGCTTGCCTTGCACACAGCCAACACTGGGTTCTATTCCCCGCATCCCATATAGTCCCCCGAGCACCGCCAGGAGTAATTACTGAGTGCATGAGCCAGGAGTAACCCTGTGCATCGCCAGGTGTGACCCAAAAAGAAAAAAAAAAGTAATTAAAATTAGGGACTAGAAAATAGCTCAGGGGTCAGGAATACATGCCTTGCACATGCAAGGACTTGAGTTTAAACCTTACCACCAAATGTCTTTCCACTTCAACACAGCCAGGTATGACACTGGTGGTTGCTAGCACTGCCCCTTGAGCATGACTGGAAGCACCCTTGCGAAAAATAAATAAAATTGGCATAGGACAAGCTCTTTTTTTTAATATATCTATAAATCTTTTGTGCTTCCCTTTCTTTTTTTCCTGAGTGTTACATTCACATCTTAATGCAGAAGATATAATAAGATGGCATATAGATATATACCATAAGTTAAAATATTTTGATATTTATAGCTATCTGACATGGCAGTAGTCATAAAGTCACTGTCACTGTCACTGTCCTCCTGTTGTTCATCGATTTGCTCGAGCAAGCCCAGTAACATCTCCATTGTGACACTTGTTACTGTGTTTGGCATATCGAATACATCATGGGTAGCTTGCCAGGCTTTGCCTTGCAGGCTAGATACTCTTGGCAGCTTGCCGGACTCTCCAAGAAGGGCGGAGGAATCGAACCTTGGTTGGCCGCGTGCAAGGCAAATACCCTACCCGCTGTGCTATCGCTCTAGCCCAGTCATAAAGTAAATGCGATATTTATCAAAAATATCATAATAAAATTTAGGCATTTAAAAATGGAACTTAGCTACGTATTGGTTTTTTTTTTGTTAAATTGTTAATTTTTATTGTGAAATTAGATGAGCACACAGAAACATATACACAACTTATGTGTGTAGATACATTTTAATATAGTTATAAGGAATATATCAGTATGCAAAGCATGTTAATTTAACAGCATAATATGCAGCGATACCAAAATAGCTTTGGTGAATGCTTATTATTATTGCTAAAATTGTCTACTGCTTAGAATTGTACTAATCAAAACAATGATTTCACATTATCAACAAAAGTAAGTTTTTTAGAAGTAAAGTACATACTGAAAAGATGTGAAAATGAAGGAAAAAATGAGAAATGACATATAATTCAAGGAGGAACATCGATGCTTACCAAATACACGAGTAAATTTTTTTTTATTTGTTTTTTTTTTGATGTTATTTTATTTTTTTTTATTTATCATTTTTTTATTAGTGAAACACCATGAAGTATACTTATAGACTCACAAATTTTTGTGCTTGGGTTTCAGTTATACAATGATCAAGTACCCATCCCTCCACCAGTGCCCATCCTCCCCCACCACGGGTCCTATCATCCCTCCGACCCCCCTTCCTCCCCCCCCCCCCCCCCCGTCCCACCCTGCCGCTGTGGCAGGGCATTCCTCCCTGTTCTCTCTCTCTTCTTTTGGGTACTGTGTTTTGCCAGAGAGGCATTGAGTGGCAGTCATGTTTGGTCTATAGACCACTTTTAGCATGTCTCTCCCACCCTGGGAGGGTCTTCACAACACCCTTTATTTGGTGCTCTCTTCTCTATCTGAGCTTCCTTCTCACCTAGCACATGTGGCTGGCCTTCAAGTCATGGAGCAAAATTCCTGGTACTAATCTGAGCCCTTCCTGGGTGTTAGTCTCCCGTTTTGTTGCTTTATGTTCCCCAGATGAATGCAATCTTTCTGTGTCTATCCCGCTCTTTCTGACTCATTTCGCTTAACATGATACTTTCCATGTAGTACCACTTGTATGTAAATTTCATAACTTCATCTTTTCTAACAGCTACATAGTACTCCATTGTGTAAATGTACCAAAGCTTCTTTAACCAGTCATCTGTTCTCGGGCACTCAGGTTTTTTCCAGATTTTGGCTATTGTAAAGAGTGCTGCAATGAACAAACAATTGCAGATGTCACTTCGACTATACATTTTTGCCTCTCTGGGATATATTCCCAGGAGTGCTATAGCTGGGTCAAATGGGAGATCGAATTCTAATTTTTTGAGAATCGTCCATACTGTTTTCCAAAAGGGTTGGACCAGCCTGCATTCCCACCAGCAGTGAAGGAGGGTCCCTTTCTCACCACATCCGCGCCAGCACCTGTTGCTTTTGTTCTTGTGGATGTGGGCCAGTCTCTGTGGTGTGAAATGATATCTCATTGTTGTTTTGATCTGCATCTCTCTGATGATTAGTGATGTAGTTAGCTACGTATTGTTGAGGTTAATAATTTGTTTTTATAGTTTTGATAATATATTTAAAATTTTCTTAACAGTGACTCCCTAGCTTTAGGTAAAAGAAGTGTGTTAAGAAATTTCTGAAATGCAGAACCAACACAATTTTTAAAAAATCATTATGAGTTTATTATGTTATATAAAATGTCTGATAAGATTTAAAAAAAGAGAGTCCAAATTTACAATGAATAAAGTAATTAAGGGATGCCAACTTCAGCTGAGGACAATTGGGATTTTCTCTTCTACATCCTATTTACATGGACATACCACACAAGGACTAACCACTTACACTAAATTCAAAACTACATTTTACCTAAACTGTTGCAGAGAAAATTAAGCTGCTAGAAACTCTCAAAACTTTTGATAAAAAGCAGAAGAAGCAATTAGCCAGAAAAGTAGAATGGTTCTCTGTGGTTAACATCTAAATTATTGCCATCATTGTTGTGATAATTCCTACATGCCATCACCTTTATGTCATTAAAATGGGTTTAATCTAAAGACAAAAAATGATTTCTCTTAAGTTTAATATGACTAACAATATGAACATATTTGGAAATACGTCAAATATACATGAAACATGGAATGAGAACTGAAAGTGAAACTAGGAAATAAATTGTCAGTTTCCATCCCACCTCTTGCTAGCTGTGTACAACTAATCCCAAACCGACATCAAAAGAATCACATTCAACTATATTTATCTACCACTTTATATTTTTTAAAAAGTCATATTCACCTATATTTTCTACCTTTCTACTATTTTCTAAGGTCCCTAATTAAGACTTACTTTATTTGCAAAAACAAATATCAACTTAAATTTAATAATACTCACTGATTTTGAGAGAACAGATACTGTAGAAGTGAAGCCACACACAGAGTTAAAGAGACTCAAGTGACAGAGTCATAGAAGTGTGGTACAGAAGAGAAATGTAATGTAATATCAAAAATGAAACAAAAGTTTATAAGGAGAAAAAAAGCAACACATCATCAAATGCAGAAAAGAAATATCCTTTCTTTTCCAGACAATACCTGTTGCTAGCGCATTTTCCAGTGATGCTTGCAAAGATTCCTTTGTAGCCTGTATTTTCTCCAAAAACATAAGGGACAGTACTGAGGTATCAGATTCTCTTGGGTACAGGGAATCAGAGTCTTGGGTAGATGATTCGGTAGATGATTTGGACTCATCTGACGACAGTTTTCCATTGCTTGATTCCTTTGAGCTTGGGGAGGTTTTAACATTCTCCACCTCCTGGTCCTGGGGGGATGGTGGTGGTGGTTTAGATGCGTTGCCTTCGGCCTGAGGAGTCTCCGGAAACACTGCGAGGGAGACTGGAATTCGGACATCATCATGGTCTTCTGCTGCAGGAACTTTTTCCTCAGCCTCGAACCTCGCAGACTCGGGCTCCCCGGCCTCAGATTCGCCAGCCTCAGATTCGCCAGCCTCAGATTCGCTAGCCTCCGACTCCCCAGTGGAAGAGGACTCTGTGTCAAATGACCCAGCCTCAGACTGCCAGACCTCGGATTCCCCAGAGTCAGATTCCTCAGCCTCAGGCTGCCCAGCCTCAGACTCTGCAGGCATAAAATCCTTTGCCTTAGACACCTTGTCATTCTCATCAGACATTTTTCTAAATTGAGAAAAAAATACACATATTTACTATAGACATAAAAGCTGCAATACTTTAAAAGTTCATTACATACAAAATAATGAGTATGTTGATTACCTTTGTAAAATATATAGCATAATTATTTCTGATTTTTTAAAAAATAAAAACACTACAGTACCCATAACAGTATATCAAAAAAAGAGAACCTCAAAACAATACATTTGAGCTTTTCTGTAGAGAATATATTGACAACTAGTTTGGGAATAAGGGATTAGTTATAGATTATGGCCTGCCTTCGAATCATTTGTTTAATGGATTAGAATCCCATGACCTATTCTGATCTCTGGGTCCATCACATGCAAACTTCTGTCCTACACCCCCCTTTTGTATCTGTTAAGAGGAACTTGTGCATAACAGTACAACTGTTACCATTTAAATGCATCAACAGTTTTACAAGGAGGGAAAAAATTAAAACTGGAAGGAAGAAATAGAATTGCCACAATTTATAATGTCTGTTTTAAAAAACATCTTAGATACAGTATTAAAAGTAAAAAAGTAAAGTAAAGGCCCTCCCGTTGATCATCGATTTGCTCTAGCGGGCCCAGTAATGTCTCCATTGGAGACTTTGTTGTTACTGTGTCTGGCATATCAAATACTCTCGGTAGCTTGCCGGGCTCTCTGAGAGGGCCAGAGGAATCGAACTCAGGTCGGCCATGTTGGCTGCGTGCAAGGCAGACGCCTTACCCGCTGTGCTATAAATGTTAGGTTTTTTAAACCTGGTCTGCCACCCATTTCCAGAAAAACTATCATTCAATATCCCTTGGAAATCAATCTTCTTTTAGGAACAAGTAGAAAACAACTCCCGTTGCACCCTGGATTATTTCAGTGGTGCCTCTGGTTATAACCCACTTTTGAAAAGATTGAGTTGAGTAGCTGCATCTAAGTTCAGTATACAACATACAAACTTATTTCCATAGACTAGCTACAATAAGGAAGTAAAATTAAATGTCTAAAAACAACATAATAGGATCCAGAGTATATTTAAAAAAAAAACCCTAGATCTAAAAATTTTGTGCTTTCTGTGAGTGTTTAAAAACACTCGCCTATTAAAAGATGAATATGAAGAGGGATGGGGGAAACATCTGCCCTAAAGACAAGGTTCAAGGGTTAGGAGGCACCAGTAACCAATGCTGCGTACTCCTAGGAGACCTTGAAGCAAAAGCACAGAGCAGTAGTATAATTTGCAAACTCTGAAGGATTTCACTGGAGGGCAGGGTTTTGGCGGGTAGTAGGGCAGGGTTTAGAAGGCAGATTTTCAGTCATCTTTTTAATGTCTTAACTTCTAAATCACTTTTATGTAGTTTCATCCAATCGTTAATGTTTTCATCTTTAAAAATCGTTTGAAAAGAAAGCAATGTTGTGATTGAACTCAAAAATGAGCCCCCGTTCACCCACAGTGCCTGACGTCATTGCTGTATCAAGAATGTTAGTGTTTATAGCAGGGTCGAGATCCAGTTATGCCTTTCAGAAAGCAGACTTGAACTTTTGAAGGTTTTATAAGCAGAACCTTCAAGACCCTGGAGAGAGACTGTCAAATACGGTGAAGTCAAGTCTCGGTGCCCTCTAAGCTCAAGACTGAAAACAGTCACCGAGGGCGGCTGGCCCCACGTTTCCTAGAGGCACCTCGGTGTCAGTCTTGCTTCTAATACCTTCTTTCCCCGTTTTGAGGTCTTTGGGTGGGAAGACGGGGTGCACCTCCTTGGGAATTTCAAATCAGCGCTGGGAAGCCAGAAAAGGAGCCAAAGAAGACAGGATAAGCACCACACACACACACACACACACACACACACACACACACACACACGGGCTCGGAATCTGGGGCGGGCAATAGAGACCCCAGTTCCTGGCTGCTTTGGTGGTCCAGGTTCGACGGGGAGGGCGCACAGATCCTCCTACCTAAGGAAGAAGAAACGCGGCGACTGGGAGTGAAGCGGTTTCTCAGGAAGAGGAGTAGGTCTGTGTCGGATTCTTTGGTCGCCGTATCCTAGCAACGAAGCAGAAGCCACCAGTTTCCGGGAGAACAGAGGGGATGGGCGGAGTCACTAGCCGAGGGGCGTGGCTAAGGGGTGGGACGCCCAATCCCTGGCCGGGGTCACCCTGAGTTGAAAGGTGACCACTCAGTTCTCAGGTCTTTGGCACCTCTGAAAGTGTAGAGTTGTCCCACTACACATGGACACTTTATACCTTCTAGACTTTAAATATCCTATACTTAATATGTTTGTTACATTTATATGAATTACTGTATCACTGTCAAACTGTTGTTCATGGATTGCCCCTAGCAGGCCCCAGTAACATCCCCTTTGTCCTAGCCCTGAGATTTTAAAAAGTGTCACATTCGAGACTCTTTCAGGGTCAGGAGAATGAGACCCATAGTTGTTACTGGTTTTTGGCACATTGAATAGGACACAGGGAGTTTGCCAGACTCTGCTGTGTAAATTACATTACACAAATATAAAATATCAGAACTAGAATCAGTATGGAGAATGAAAATCTTGAGAGAACAGCTGTACAGACATTAGGTCCCCGCACACTTTCATTACATTTATAACTTGGTTGTTAACATGAAAGCGAAATTGGCACTGTTAAATCATTACCTTTTCAAGCCAGAAAGCATTTGTTCATAGATGATTTCCACCGACCATCATATTGTTATAAACAACATCATTACTAAGCATTTTAGAGATATTTCTAATTTCATCTTTATGATTTTATCAAGAAGGAAACTATCAGTCCCGTTTTATTGAGGTGGAAACTGAAGCTCAGAAAATTGGCGGTAGTGAAGGCTGGGGATTAAAATCCAGTCTCAATTTTCAATCATTTTACGATGCTGCCATGTTTAGCACCCTGGCATTTTGAAAGAATTAAAACTTAAAATTAACCATTTTAAAATTAATCTGTTATATAGCACTTTCTTTCATAATGTTCAATATCTTTATTCCTTTGTGATGAAATTACATTGGCATCTTCCCAGAAAATTACTGAGATTAATGTCACTTTTCCAATCTCCACACCAATTTAAAATAAACTTCTTACTAGAACATGAAATTTTATATTATCAAATAAAACTGACTTTAATAAGGATTTTAAGCGAAAGCAAATGCACATAAATGGCTACGTAACTCCACATCTTCATGAAGATCAGGGAAAGTATAGAAGCACTAGAGCAGATCTTTCATAGGTAAACCAGGTGTAATTGGACGTATGCAGGAACCTTCAAATACCCCCACCACTCCCATTTCCAAATCTTAATGCATCTTAAAATTTTACTGATGAGAATTCTATTGGTTTTAAACACTCTCCTTTCTGGGTCCCATCTCTACAATGTCACCTCTATGTTCCTCCCATTTGAGACAGTAGAAACAACAAAAATACTCTGGTGATCAAGAACTTGAAATTAAAAACAGGTTGTTTTTAATATGACATGGAAGCAATTATCACTATATCACTGTCGACCCATCGTTCATGTATTTGCTCGAGCAGGAGCCAATAACATCTCCATTCATCCAGGTCCTGAGATTTTAGCAGCCTCTCCTTATTCTTCCTTCCCAATGCTGCCATACTGGAGACTCTTTCAGGGTCGGGAAAATGAAACCTGTTATAGATACTGTTTTTGGCATATTGAATATGCCACGGGGAGCTTGCCAGGCTCTGCCGTGGAAGCAATTATATGAACTTATTTTACTTTTAGACTATCTTGGAAATTACCTTGTACAGTAAACCAATTTAGAAAAAAGGAAGATTTTCTAACTACAAGCTGAAAACAACCCTGAAAGAACACTTGGTAGTATTTCCCATTTTACTTCTCACAATAAATGTGTGCATTTTACATTTATTTCCTAAATTGACTATAATTCTCATAAAACATCTACTTGGATTCAGAGAGTTTACTTGACTGAATGCATACAAAGCATGAGGGAGAACCAACTTCAGAGACACCACAGAGCCCGGAATAGCACTTCCATGTATGGCCCGAACACTAACAAAAAGAGCTCCACCAAAACTAAAAATCTCATTTCAGCATTTACCAATTTTAATGTCTTTCTTTTTACAATAACGCCACCTAGTGACTTTATGAAATCATGCATCTCAGAATATTTCCATGTTACTTTAGGCTAACATGCATTTTGATATAAAGGAATTAGGGGGGAAAGCACTAGAATAATTTAGAATATTAGGACTGGAAAATTTTAAAACACAGATGGTTTTGAAATCTAGTTTACTATTTTTACTCATACTTATTCTCCATAGGTACATTGACAGAAAATCAAAGCAGGATATAGGTTCTTCTGTGCAGCTCACACAAAATAGGCATGTGTTCACAAGAAACACTATGTTGAGTTTTTTTCTTTTTGGATCACACCCGGCGATGCACAGGGGTTACTCCTGGTTCTGCACTCAGGAAGTGCCTCTGGCTGTGCTCAGGGTACCATATGGGATGCTGGGAATCAAATCTGGGTCGGCCACGTGCAAGGCAAACGCTCTACCCACTGTGCCATTGCTCCAGCCCCAAGAGTTCTTGGAGTAAGACTTGTCAAGGCCCCAAATTTGTTTCCACAGCTGTCACCTTGGGGGGTTCTTACTATCCTATCTCATCACTGCTTCTCCAGGGACCTCATATAGTACAATTGCAGGGAAAAACTATTCTTAGTTTATCTAGAAAATAGATATGATTTACAGGAACTCTCTCTTTGGAAGAACTTAGATCAGTGCCTAGGAAACGTTAATAAACTTTAGTCATGATTATTTCTGATTATTTCAATTAGTAATTCCATTGCAAGTATCTGTAAGGTCACTGTTTATTAATGACCATAGGATTTCAATTTAAGTATCCAAGATGTTAAAAAAAATTATAGGATTCAAATATGACAAAAATACATAAAGTCACATTTTTTTATATGCCCAAAGGGCCTGAAAAAATGATTAGAAAATTATCTCAAAGTATCTATGCAGACAAGCT